TTCACTAAGTAAAGACTTTTAAATGTCTCCAAAAAACACAGGTGTGCAAATTACTCCTGATACAAACATCCAGCATTCCCTCAAACACTGTTAAACAACACCCCCCCAAGCATTTTTCAGCTCATAAAAGCTTTATGAGTTGAAAAGTTTCTTCAGGTTTGAGGGTTTTTTTCAGCTGTTAATCCATTACCTTCCAGCAACAGCATCAGCCCTCAACACTACAATACAAAGAAGCTAAGAGAACATAAAAAGGCATGAGATGGCAAGTTTTGCAACTTTGCAGTGAGAGACTAAACTTCTCTGTCCTACCTGATACAATGGAAAGATGCTGATGTGATAACACATCAGAGTGCAGGGCTATTTTCCTTTCTCACTTTCACAGCACAGTCACGATCCCAAGGGAATAGACTGTTTTTTCACTCAAGTGAATGAAGTCCCAAGCTCCTTCCAGTAGGAAACATGTCTGTAGTCCTTTGTGTTGCCTAAAAAGAGAGGTTTCCCCATGCCCAAATGTATTTTCCTCATTAATTGGGACACCTGCCCTAGATTTGCCCATGTGCCATAGTTTGTTAGAGAAACCGTGCCTTATATCCCTCATTAATTTTTGCACCTGCCTGACACTTCCTCACATGGAAGTATATGGGTTGTTTGTATAATGCAGGTTTTTAAATGAAAACTGCTGTATTCTTAGACAAATAAGCAGTTTAATCCATATAGTGGTGTGTTCCTTCTTATCAGCAATAGAGTGCATTTCTCAGAATTTAAGCTAATGAGCTTCACCTTCCACAAGGCCCTCAAATTACTTGTGTTTCCATGGGTAATTTTTTTTTAATCTAAAAGTAACCTAAACATCCTTTATGAAAGTTTTGATTAATTGCAGGCATGCATTTTAAAAGCTAGAAATATAACTACATACCTCTTAGATGGCATAAAAAATAAGGCCCCTAGAGGAAACTTTTTCTGGTTTAAGGGCCTATTGTACAAAAAAATTGAAAATATTTAATACCAGCTTCAGTTACATATTGTTATATATAAAAGATATATTTATAAGTTTATATATCTAATACTTCATATAAAGAGGGAAGTTGTGTCTAAGACAGCCTAAGATCTCTGCCACTATATTTAATTGAATTTAACCCAGTCAACATTCAACGCTTTTCAAGTGCTGCTTGAGTCTACAGTAAAAATGAAGAATAATATCCCCCACATTCCATACATCCATAACACATTCCATATATCGACAGCACGTTCCAAAGACTTCAATGCAAATCTGATGCCAGTGTAGCAAGGGTCTGCTACTGCAAAATAAATCACAAGAAATCCTCCCTGCTTCTCCCTCTACCAGTGATTGGCCGCAGGTGAGATCACCAGACCCAGAGCAGTGATGGGCTGCTCTCACTGCGCTTCGCTGGGAGGTAGGGCACACATCAATTGCAGAGGGACTCCTGTGTTGCAAGTGATACACTCTGTACTGCTTGCAAAAAAATTCTAAAAATGTCTGTGTCTCTGTTTGTTTGCCATGCCTCATCTCTTCCACGTGAGTATAAAATAATGCTCATAACGAGCAAAGCCTAATAGCACTTGCATGGAGCACTTAAATATTGTTATGTCTACACTACAGATGCCAAATGGAGCTGCAGAAAGTACTACTCAGCTATGTTAGTAAAATAGCAAGTTTTTCTGTATTTAAGTGACATGGCTGACAGGAAACAAAATGTGGTAACGTATTTCCGTCGAGCCCTGCTCCACTATTAAACTGTTGCTTCCAGCAAAAGCTGAACAACAAAGAAGTGAAGAATGATGAAATAAAAAATTAATCTCATTATATTTTCAATGCTTGTGAGTACACAAAATGGAAAATATTATATTCATGTGTATGCAATCCTGTTTATACAGCAAGCCACTCATTATTATTCCTATTTCAAACAACTATATGAAGGACTTTGGTAAGCAAGACAACATTTTTTAGGAGGCACTTTTGGATGTTTGACTTGAAAATCATTAAGGTCTTTGCTTATAACCCTCATTGACTATTTTATTTAAGAATGTTGAGCTTGAAAACATGCCAAAGCAAAGGAGGAAAAACCTTTGGTACCTCAGAGAGATATAATGATGAAAACTATTTCTTGCTCTCATTGAGCCAAGAGTTAGAAGCCAAAGACACGGTTTATACAGTTCCTGTATGACTGTGGATCAACTTTCAAGCAAAGAGTGACACAATAGGAAGATAAACTATATCCTAGTGAAAGGCATATGTTCATAATAATTGCCAAATCCATTCCTCTTCAGCACCTCCTATGTACATTTTTTTTCAGCACAAATAAAATTTTATGGACGGAGGGAAGGGAAACTGGGCAAGACAGATTTTTCAGATTCAATCTTTCATTTCTGAAGAAAGAAAAGACTAATCCTAATCCTAAAAGAGAATAAATCTTTGGCAGCATTAACTTAACTTGTGGCAAGTAGGTATAGTGTGCTTTTTTTTCTGTCGATAGCTAAATGGAGGACTTTCCACTGTCAGATTCTGAAAACAGAAAAATAAAACTTCCTTCTGACCTCGCACTAGAACACAGGATAAATTCCTTCATATTTAGAGAGAATACAGGTACTACTATATAAAGAACTTCATAATATTTCAAGAAAAAGATTTTTTTTCTGTGCTGGCAGACTAAACCATTTCTAAAGGTAGAATCTTAAGGATGTATAACTCTAGCTTTGCTTATAAACACCCACACACAGATGTGCATAGACACCTCGAAAATGCTTGCACATCTTTAGAAAGGTTGTGAAGATGCAGAAAGAAAATCTTGAAGAAAATCTGTCCTAAGGAGCTAATCACCCAAGTGAAAGCAAGAGTAGCTATGCATTGATCCACCACCCTTTAGATAATTCAGCTAGAACTAATTCCTAATTTAATGAAATACAACAATAGCACCATTCTGAAAAAACCAAAAAGTATAAAATAAGACACTCCTTGGAGTGTATGCAGAAAAATCCTGAATCATATACCTTGTGCACTATCATGACTACGCTTTGCAAATGCGCTGCTGGCTAAAGAGGCTGATGTGGGACAGGCAAGTCTGGTTGCAAAAGGCACAGCGGAAAGTCTCCTTAGGTGGTATTGGCGAGGCACGGTTCTTTCTGCGTTGTCTTTTCTCCTCAAGACTAATTCTACATGTATTCTCAAAGGAGGCAGCAGCATTATGGGTGGTGTATCTCCAGGTCTCTCGATTGGAGGCCAGAGTGGACCACTGATAGCAGTCAAGATGGCCAAAACTGAGGTGTTGTTTCAGAGAGTCCTTGTATCTCCTCTACTATCTGAAGAAAACACCACGTTTCTGCATCCTCCCAAACCATCCTACATGTTTCCATCTGCCTGGAACAAACATCTGCCCACCACAACCCACTCTCCTATATGCAATAAACTGTAGAATAACTCAAGAATGTGACATGGAAAATTAGTCCACTACTACACGGTCCAGATTAATTGTTAAGATGAATTCAGCAGATTTCCACAGGAAAAGACATATTTAAAATGTGATTTAACTCATCTTCAGAAATTATCCTGTTCAGACTTACCAGACTTGTCTCATTTAACTGAGACTTCCAAGATGCTGGCAACATCCAAAGCTTCAGATAAAATAATTATAATATACCACAGAAACAAAAGTAGTGTTTAAGTGTTAAAATAAAATAACTATTATTTTCTGAAATAGAAGGTTAAGCTACCAGAGATATGACTTGTGCAGTTTTATATATCATAAAGTACGAAAATTAGAATAGATTGAACAAATATACAAAATCCACTGTATGAAAAAATCTGATGATACATCACATTTCAAGGAAACAACTTCTGCCTTTTGATTTTTGAAAGAAATTACCAAGCAGAAACCTGGAAAAAAAATCAACAAAAAGACTTCGATAGATCATTAATTCTATCACAGAAGTTCTTCAAAGATATGTATGTTATGGTTGAGAACGAATAAGTGTATCTTATATAACCAGTCAAAATCATTGCATATAGTTAAGGTATATAAGACATGAGATGAATTTTTACTGTATTCCTTCTGAAAATAAAATAGTTCTAAGATAACTATAAAATAATTAAACAGGATGTATGCAACATTGAACCTAATAGATATTTTGAGCTATATCCTCTTTGTCAGTTCTTTCACATTTCATTTTTAAAAATGAGTTTTTAGCAAGACATCTTAAATAAGGGTCAGTTGACAGAGTTCTTCAATGTAAAATTGCATAGCCTTCAGCTATTGCGTTATGGAGACATATTCACCATAAAACCCAACAGTTCATTGCTACTTCAGGAGTTTCTGTTCTGGATACCCATGGAATTGAAGCTCTACACACATGTACACTGCCATCAGCTAAAAAATTTAACACATCTAAAAAATATGTTGATTTGCATTGCAAACTCTGTAAAATGTGTTTAAAAAGTATGATATGCTAGGAAAATGTGCAAAAACCCGTCCCCCAAATCACAAGAGGTCCACCTGTGGACACAGAAGAGTGCCTCAACCATTTTTAGCTGACTACATTGTACATGGCATTGTTAATTGCTACAGACTAATGGAAGGTTAAAAGAATCTAGTGCTTCATTTAGGACTAGTAATGCATGGAATGGAAGCTGTGACATTAAAATGCTTGTCTCACAGATAGCTTAAGTTTAATCAGTGACGACAACATTAAATAAGAAAAATGAAGTATAGGCATCATGACTTTTAAGAGGAAATACAACTGTTTCATATTCATTCTTACATAGAAGTTAATCTTACCCAAACCATATATATAACATATTTCTGAGCTATTTTAATGAACAGAAAAATAGACCTACCAATATTTAGTAAGTTGCTGTCTAGATAAAACTTGTATTTTGCATCCTTCAGTGATCCAAGAAACATCTCCAGTATATTCTAAAGTACACCAGTTTGTTATGATAAACTGTCCATTCTGATGGACTGCAGGTCTAAAAGGCAAAATCTTACCTGTATCATTGCCTGCGATTTGAATAACATACAATCTTATGTCTTTTTCACTATCAGGGTGTGAAGTAGAAGGAGACACCTCCTGAGGTTGTAAAGCCTCTGTGGCCTCCTTCACTTTGGGTGGTGCAGTAGGTCGTGCAACTGCAGTAGCAGTTGATGCTGTGAAATATTCTTTATCAATTTCTGACTCTATCGTCTTTCCTGTCAGATCATCGTCAGCAGTGGTTTTACCGGGAGAAATAGATTCATCAATTACGATGATGTCGTTGCTTTTTACCTCCTCTTCTTCCTCAGGAATGATACGTGGTGATTTTTGAGTAATGTAAGGTTTGGATGCTGATGTAGGCTGAGTTTTGTCTACAGCACTAATGGAAGGGGGTGTTACATCACTGAGAATTGTTGTCTTATCCGTTGCATTAGATGAAAATATAGCTGTTTTGATTTCTTCAGGTTCTTCTGACACTCCCGAACCTTCCAGAGTTTGGCTTGGAGAAGCTCCCAAAGTCGGATGAGTAATGCTTTCCACAGTAGAATGACCTGCTGGCATCCTATGGGAGGGCAACATAGATTCCCAGCTCACTACATCACTGTCTTCCCTGGTAGGGGTTCCTCTGCTTTCATATGTTCTTCCTTGGGTACCCACTGTTACAGACATCACTTCAGTAACCTTCTCTTCTTGATCAGCAGCAGTTTCAGTTTTCGGAGTCACTGTGAGAGGCATGGTCCTGGTGCTAGTTTCGTGTCCCAAATCTCTTCCATAGTCAGTGAGCTTCACTGCAGGCACTGATACTTCTGTTGCTGGATATGTCTCATCGTAAGCTGAACCTGTCTCATCCTGCTTTTCCTGAATAGCTGTTTGAGACAATCCAGATACTGGTGCCATCTTTTGCTTGTGTGTTTGAACAGATGTCACAGATAAGGTAGACTCTGTGGCAGTGTCTGACTCCTTATCTTGGTCCTTTGTGGAGGGCTCCTCTGGGAACAGCTCACTATCTTTTGCAGTTGTTTCTGTTGCTTCTGTATGAAAGATACCATCAAAAGGAGTCTGATCAGTAACTGGCATAGCTCTAGTGACTTCACTCTCTACAGTAACTGGAACTAGGGAAGGAACAGGTTCTTCCTGTGGAACTGTAGTATCTACCTTTGTCACATCTGTAAATAGAAGAGATTCCTTTGTCCCTTCAAAGCCAGCTGATGGTGTTCCTTTTCTGTCTTGAAGTGTTGCCACTGACTCCTTCTCAGCTGATTTCACAATGCTTATTTGGCCTTCCTCTGTCACTATGTATTTTGAGACCTCCATTTCAGCAGAAACGTCTTCAGCAGGTGCTGCTACCGATGTCTCAGTAACCTCTCTTTGCTCAGCTTCTGGGGTAGAAACGGACGTTTTCAAAACATACCCTGATGTTTCATCTCCTTCGTACTCAGTTACCTCCATGACTGTGGGCATAGAAGTGGGTAATACAGTAACACTTGAGGAGCTAAAAGATTTTATTGTTGCGCTGCTTTCATCCACTGATATTTTGGATACTGTGATCATTTCCATATCCAAAGAGCTGCTTGTGTGGGACACACCTACAGTATCTTTACTCTGATCAAAAACAGCTGATACAGCTTCTTCATCACTTTTTCTTTCCGCTGGCTCCATGCTTGTCTCGGTTTCATCTGTAACTGCTGAAATGGGAGCTCCTGGATGCTTTGTATATTCTGTAACTTGCCCTGGAGATGATGTAAGCTCCAATCCAGAGATACTATCTTCTGTATCTAACTCATGTATTGTCTCAGTATGAGATGACTTTTCTATCATATAACCCTGATCTTTATCTGTCAGCAGCCATGTGCCAGAAGCTGAAGGAGCCTGCGTCAGCTTCTCACTTGTAGAATGCTCCTCGGGTTCTGCTGTAACATAAGTAGGAAGGACAGCTGTGGCATGTGAGATCTTAGGATCCTTTGTAGTCATTTCTTGCTCCTTTGTTTCTTCAGTACTTCCTGAGAGAACAATGGCCTCAGATCCTGTTTGATTAACAGCTGACGCAGAAAAGGATACAGGCATTCCAGATGACATGGTTGGCTGCACATCTCTCAGGTCCTCTCTGCTTCCTTCAGCTGATGCCTCATTATCAAGTATCATAGCAGAACTAAATTTAATGAATGGAGTTGACTCATATGCTGTAGAAACCTGTCCAGTGGTTACCGCGTGCTCATCCAGGAGTGTCTCTGATGCAGCAAGAACATCTGATTCTGAGACGCTACCAGTAGCCATGCTAGACAATCTACCAGGCATAAGGGTGTACATGCTCTCTCTGCCCTCCCCCTCTGTAGAAAGATCATACTGATCAGTGAGCAAAGCCTTAGGGATTACAACAGTTGTAAGTTTCTTGTCAGATTTCGCCTCCATTGACTTTTTTGTGGGTTCTTTTGTTGAGTGAGCACCAAGATATATGTTCTCTTTTGTCAAGGAAACTGAAGTCCCTGTTCTGGGAAACTCTTTCCGAGAAGTTGGTGACAAGCTATCTGTAGCTGTCATCACAGGACCCACTTCTATTTGTTCAGTCTGATTATCAGCATCATGTTTTTGTGTATCTCCTGCTTCAGCATCTTCCCATGAACCAGTGGAACTCTTAGCTACAGCTGTGCTATCCTGAAAAATTACAGAGGTCAAGAAAGCGTCCTCAATGCTTTCAGACCTACCTTGTTCCTCAGGCAATTCTGCTTCAGAGTAAGTGGGCTCCAGCTCCAAAGCTGCAGATGTGCTCTCTGTTAACCTAGGTGAAACATCATATTCAGTCCTTCCCAGTGTATCGTAAGTACTCAATTCGCCATCTGTGACAGTCTGAGGTAGAAGGGTGGTTAACTTAATGTTCTCCATAAGCACCTCCATTTCCCTCTTCTCCTCAGCCACATCAGTAGTCATTTCTGTATCTTCTTCAGTCTCTAGGGTTGTTTCCTCCACTGCAGGGACCTCTGTTTTGGTGACAGGCACTTCAGTAATCAAAGTCTCAAAACCAGGAGGTTTAAGAGTAACTTTAGCAGATGACGATTTCACACTGTCAGTTCTCAGAGATGTAATCAGCTTAACAGTTGTAGGCTCTGTTATCACTTTTTTACCTTAAAAAAGAAAAAAAATATGTTAAGGAATTATTCAGTCATAATACAAACAAATGTCACTTTAATTCAGTTTGAATGTTCCCAGAGAAAACCCTGAATGCTACACTGAGATAAAAATATAAAGCTTAAATGCTTTAGACAGATGTTCAGCATAGAATAGAGATTTGAATTACATAAAATAGCACATTATAAAGCTGTAGAACATTTAACTCAATGAAATGAGAAGAGTAGCAGTATTCTTCATATTCATTGTTCATATAATTAGCCCTAGAAGTCCTTGTATTATATGAGTACCCATCAGACAGCTCAGTACCAATCAGGGAATATAAAAGTTTATTTTGTGATGTCATGAATGAGTGGTACTGCGAATCTGTGGGTTTTTATCAAAGCTTACTGTAGCACGCAACTCATGTATAAAGGGAATGAAACACCACTTTAGTTTATTTTCAGCACATAATTACAAATTGCAAAAAGGAACCCTCTATGGAGTGAGAAGATGCTTAAGCAACAGGAACAAACATGCCATCAGAAAGTACTGTTTTGCAATGCCACAAGAAATGCTGCCCTGTATTTAAATTATACTGAGAGAAATTTATTATGGGGAAAGGTGAAAACAGAAAATCATAAAATCGTAAACTTAATACTATAATTATGTAAATTTCTGGAAAATACTTCAAAGATATATATCTGAAACTCCTTCATATACAAAAGTTCTATGGGAGTGTTGAACATGAAAAGGCAGAGTGCTGAACCCCTTGAATGATGGGAAAACTAAAGGGTAGCTATCCCACATTCACAAAAGACACAAAGAAATGTCTTTCCAGTGAACCAAATTGTGGTGTTTAAAAGAATCTTGCTGCCTTATGCCTTGTCCACTCTTTCTGCCCCAGACTTTCAGCCTATCTGAGGAGGAAATATGTGCTGTCAACTATGGCACTGCAAAGTCTGGCATCAGATTTTACACTCCTGAAAAAGGTGAGTTTGCATTCAGAAAACAGGATTTACTTGAAAAAGCCCAAGGTGGAAACACCTTCTCTTCTGTCAGCTATTCTAGATGGGTAATCTTCAGAGGGGCAATGGAGGCAGACAGGTGGAAGACGTGAATGTCTTAAAACAGTGCTATTATTTCTGACAGTCAAAAGCCTTATATGGATGCAAGTAAAGAGCAAAATATGGTCCTTTAAATCACACTAAGCATATTAAGAGTGCACTTAATAGACTGTGTATATGAGGACTAACACAGACACAACTACATATATAGCTTCTTCCAAAAGGAAATATCACTGAACTTCGAAGAGTGCAAAGAATTTTATCACCCTGACATGCAGAATTCACAACAGTTACAGTATCTTGCAAGAAAACACTGAAGCCAAAGACTCATTATTATAGCTGTGAGTTAATAAAAGAGATCAGGAGTCTTTACTTAATGTAAGGTAAGAATACCAGTTACCAGGAGAAAAAGTGATTTCTGAGATTGGATTTTTACTGCATAGCATACAGGGATGAAGATGTTCTAGATAATGATGCAGCCTCTGGCTGACTCGGAACTTGGAGGAGGTAACAGTATAAGCAAGGAAGAGGAAGAAAATAAAAAGTTTAGAAAGACTTGGTCACATATTTGTGCACTGGCAGTTTATACTCAAGCATATGCAGTATGTATGCACAAATCATTTCTTTTCACATACCCTTGTCTAATTAGGTACCCCTTTGATAATTGTAAATAGGAATTCTGCATGTGTAAGTTAGGATCACCCAAATATTTGTTTAGTTTCTCACATCAAACTTTGAAAATATCACCTTTGCAAGAAACTTATTTGATTTACCCTGAAGTTGACAGGCTTGTCATGTGATGGCTCCTTAGGCTTCCTAGAAGAATGCATGGATATAAAGAGTAAGGAAACGAGGAAAATGAGCTGATATTTCAGTTTTCTTGAATGAGAAGTGAAAGTGAAAAGGAATTTGTGAGGGTAAGAAAATACGGCGTTGCTATGTTTAGAAGTGATGGTGTTCTTTACTAGCAGAAAAAGAAACAGATTTTTTTTCCTACCGTACATTAAAACTATTTGTCATTTTACTAAGAAGGCTTAGCTACTTATACAGACTTTGTTTTTTAAGGTTAAAACATTCAGCTGAGCAAGAAGAACTAAAGTTCTTGGAATCCCATTAAGCAAAGAACAGCCTTAACACAAATGATTTTCATGTTTTGGGGCTCTACAACCTGAAGTGGATGCTATTACTCTTTTCAACCCCTATGTGATTCAAGTGTGAGAAGGTGGTCAGAACCAAGAGTCAACAAGTTCTTACAATTTTTTTTGCCTCCCTGCTTGCATGAGAATGGTTTAAACTGCAGAGTTTTCCTTCACAACTGTGGAATGAAGAGTGCATACATGAAGTTACCACTGTCTTGAGTGGTAGCTGGTAGTTGTTAAATTTCTACCAAAGAATCTGCCAATTTGCCTCAAAAGCTCCTTTTATTGTTTTAACGGCAAAATGGAAAGAAGACAGCATAGTCTCATATTATCTGTTCTAACCATAGAAGGATGAGTTTTTTAATGTAGATTGAATTTGTTTTGCAGCCAAATCAAGTACTTATTTAGACCCAAATTACCATGTTTTAAGTGACTATTGAGATCACTGTTTGAAAGAATGTGAAAGCATAATGCCCTCTAACAAAGCTAGAAAAAATGAGGGCATGAGAATGGAGACCTGGGCCAGCACTGCAGGGACTTTGGAAAAAAAATATTGAAATGGGGGGGGGGGGGGGGAAGAAAAAAGTAACTTTATTTAATCCCTGCTAGGAAATAGTATACACTTACTTACAACAATTTATGTAGCTTCTCAATTTTCAAGAAGTGTTTGGAAGACCCAAAAGTTCACATATTTATGCCTGAGATGCAGTTATTTGTTGTTCATGACTCATTATCTGCTAGTTACTTGATAAAATTGCTACACATTTATGAAGTAAATGTGAAAAAACACCAAGAACATTTGATTTGCTTATCTTAAAGTGAAGCAACAAATATACTGGTATAAGAAAAGCACATATTTTTTAAGAGCTTACAATAAACAGACATTTTTTTTCCAATGGAGTTACCAGTACAATTAACTACATGGCCTCTAAAATTGTTTTGTCATAAATATGATACATAAGATTTTTCATACAGATCATTCAGGTTTGCAAATTTATTTGAACAGATTAAAAAAAACGCTTCTTTAAAAAGAAACTGATCTATCAATGTTTTTGGGGTTTTTTCTATTCTGGAAAAAAAAAAGAACACAAAGAGAAGGTTGCTTTTTGAATAGACTGAACATCAGTTTGAACTGTCGTTGACTCTACCCAGATGTTTTGCATTACTGTTCTCCTTGTATCACATGTGCACTATGCTATCTCTTTTGTCCTTCTTCAGATTCAGACTTTCCTAACAAATTTCATAAATGTATTAGCGGCAGGAAAGCAAATTATCTCACCAACAGCTGTTCATATCAAAGACTATCTTGTTTTTTAATTGATTCTTTTTATACTGAACAACCTGCATTAAGCTGATTTTGGATGGAGTATATTACTTTGCAGAGATACTAAATTTTTTTCACTCTATTTTACACTTTCACTGCACAGCATCTTCTACCTCTTCTATCCCACCACTGTTTAAATAAGTGTTCAAAATAATGGATCAATATTAAAGCTAGTATTTTTCAAGGAAATTACACTATACAACTTCAGACGTGATTTAACTTTGCAATTATCAGACGAGGATTTTAATGTTCTGTGTTGTGTAATAATTTCAAGGTACCTGGATGTACTTTCTGGAGGAGAAAATGCCTATTTAAAGACTATATATATTATATAAATTATAATATATATACACATTTTCAGCACAACCAGTTTCACAGAATTTTTAACCAAGTGTCTAACTTGAACCACTTGAGGAATTTCTCTGCACTCTGAAATATTGTTTGTTTATGTTTAAGTATGTACTTAAGAACTAGGAAGAACACAGACCCTACAGATAGAAAAAGAAATTGTTTTAAGTCATTGCCAACAGCAAAAACAACAAAAAAATATTGTCAGAACAAAACCTGGAAATAGTGACTTTTCTGTGAATAACAGCCAAAATAAATTATTCCAAAACATAAGTGATGTTGAAACAGTCAAAATTAATGGTTAGACTACTTCCAGCTCATTTACAGCATGATGCTTACGTAAAGAGATTGTTTTGCTTAATTTTTACACATTTTTGTATGCTAATTTTTTTGCTACTTCATTAAATTTGTTTTATGTGTTTGTCTCTTCTCTGCTACCAACCCTGGCAGAGAAGATAATCTTGAATGTTCCCTTAACTCTAAGAGTTACGCCAGCTGGAGTTTAAATTACTGGCAAAACCTTCCAAATTGGATGCGCCTGAGAGTAAGAACAGATCAAAAAAAAAATAAAAGAAATAGTGCTCCAGGTTACAAACTGAGCCAGAAACCTCTCGTTATTACACTGACTCAGTATAACTTGTTCACTCATTTCAGGAAGGAGAAAGGTGGACAGGGTATGTGGAGTTTTTTCATTACTTATGCAACATGTGGTAGCATAAAGAGGATTCAAAATCTGACACTGCAGCTATGAGTTTCTCCATAACTGCAAATGTATACTCCCACTGTTTGACATCAAAGCGTAAGCCAAATATAACGAGAAGAATAATTAAAAAATCAAAATGCAGTATCCATTCACAATTATAAAATATGTGCAATATCAGAGAAAATTAGTTGAGTTTCATTAAAAAAAAATTTAAAAGTGATTAGTCTGTCTTATTTGCAGGGAAAAACTTAAAATATAAAGAAAGGTCACATAGAGGGGGCCAGTTAGCTGTCAGTTGAGCATAGCGCTAACAACACTAAGGTGGCGGGTTCAGTTCCCGTTCGGTCCTCATGTGTTGCCTGATCTAGTTGAGAGGTGGCGTCCCTGGCAGCAGGGAGGCTGGATTAAAATGATCTCTGAGGTCCCTTCCAGCCTA